AAATGACTTACATGCATAGAAACTTTAGAAAATTTGAGTGAACGAATTGATTTGACTGAAAAATGAGCTTGCCGCTATTTCGAGGCCACTGTTTTGTGTAAGCTATGCATTTGACAACTAGCCATTATTAGTGGTACATATTTGTATGGGTGTATGGATACATTTACGGTGGCTTTTAGGACATGCGAGTGTATTAAACAAAGTCTTCCAAATTCGAACTGGACCCATCCCTAATGCTTCAACTACTCTACTACCTGAAGCAAATGTAGCTCTCTGAATGTATTTTCTGATTTGTACCGTAATCCTCCAGATCGTGGAAAAGTAGCTGACCAGACGATTTTGCGTTTACAACTAAAACCTATCACCAATCAGCATCAAATAAAGGATTCTTTCTTTATGGTAGAAGGCAGGAGAACTTGTGATCGGTTCAATGATGTGCTGATAGTGCTGAAGATAATGTGACAAACAAAAACGAATTAATATAATTATTTATAATCTGACACGTCAATAAGTTAATTAATGCACAGGAATGTCGTGGATATGTCGTTTTTCTTACTTCTTTCCAGCGTAAGAGTTGCCGCCACCTCCGCCAGCGTAACCACCTCCGCCAGAGTAACCGCCGCCGCCAGCAGATGCGTAGCTGCCTCCACCTCCGCCAGAATATCCACCGCCTCCAGAGTAACCGCCACCACCTCCGTATGATGGTGGAGGAGGAACAGGGTAACCTCCACCGCCGCCTCCTCCGCAGCCTCCGCCGCCACCTCCTCCACATCCGCCGCCACCTCCTCCGCAGCCTCCGCCGCCTCCGCATCCGCCACCGCCTCCGCAGCCTCCGCCGCCTCCGCAACCGCCTCCGCCGCCTCCACATGGTGGCGGACATGCTGGTGCAGCGGGACATGGACATGCAGGTGCAGGACTGAAAATTTGGTCATTTTAACGGAAAGAATAAGAAGGGAGGGATGAATTGCGCTGAAGTTATGCACTCACCAGCAGCTACTGCCACCACCTCCACCTCCGAAGAGGAAAGATTCAGACACTGCAAAGACTGCGAACGCCACAGCGGCGATCTTCAACATCCTGAAATATATCAGAGTGCTGTATAAAATTCGGACCAATACGACCAAACGGTAAGCATGGATTAATCCGTGAATCTTTGGTATTGAGAAAGATGGCTCGAGAGCGCTGGATTATGTGTGCTTGACCAGATAACACACTTTTATACAGATGTGCTTATCGTATTAGCCAGTTTACGACAGGATCGTGAGCTATGCGAAGAACTGTAAAGCATCGGTACCGCATAAGTGGATCCTCATCCGGGACTTTGTTCGCACGTCACCATCTCTCACCGCAGCCCCGCATCGAAGGCTCTCAATACTGAGCTTAGCAAAATTCCAAAAAAAAGTGATTTTCAACAAGATTCATCATCTAATTGGACACAAAGTTTTTGAAATTGATCAAGTCAACTGCAGATATGATGCTTGTTGCCTCTAGAGGCATCGCAACGAGACCCTTCTGAAGATCTCCCATCAGATCGCAATCAAGGAATTAACAATACCAAGCAGTGCCGGGCAAGCCATTCTTATTTTTCGCTGATAAAGAGGGTTTGAAGGAATTTCATCCGTCTGGTAATGTTGGAGACAGTTTCGCATATTGTACATGCTTCGAACTTCTATCTAATGGTCATAACAGCTTATGAGTCCTCTCCGACAGTTATCACCAGATTTTGTAGTGTCACCTAATTTGATTTATTATGAGTAATCTCAAAAGTGCTAGCGAAGAACACCATAAGTGGGGCTACTGCTTTGGTAAGCGATTTTTGCAAAAACCGTATCTACAAAAGGAGTGGACGGTCATTTGACTCTTCTCGTACACGCATCCTCTGTTTTGCTNTCAAAAGTGCTAGCGAAGAACACCATAAATGGGGCTACTGCTTAGGTAAGCGATTTTTGCAAAAACCGTATCTACAAAAGGAGTGGACGGTCATTTGACATAACCTTCCCCTGAACTCTTGCATAACCCGTAGACTTCTCGTACACGCATCCTCTGTTTTGCTTAGAGATTTCTAAAGATCTCCAGTTCGGAGTACCGAATTCCTAAAAGCAGCAACTGCGGTGTGTTTTGGAACACAGGCTTTCCTCATTAGCAGGGGTCGTACCCAACAGTCCTCTGAGTTGCGGTCGATAAGATTCGTAGGCCAGTCGAAAAAAGGAGTAGAACTGAGAAATTCCTCCCAACAGCAGTCTTGCCCTTCTTTCACCTGCAGGGAGTGCTTCGGAGGTTTCAAATGGTAACTTTGAATAAGCTTTGACCCCAGCAGCATCTTTTCAAAAATGCCCTTCATGACGATGTTTTAGGATAATCCAATAAAAATGTGCGATATTGAATGATGACGCAGATTACAGCCCGCATCATCACGGAAGAAGGACAATGACTTCGTGAAACGGTCTGACCCTTCTCATCAGTTCGCCACTCGTAGTGGGAAACATACATGTACTTTACCATACCGTACCTTTTCCTCGCCAGAAAGCTTATGGAGCTCCGAAACCCATCTGAATTCAGCTGTATTTGCTTAAGAAAGACTTTTCCAATCGAAGTTACAGCTATATTCAACTCAGCAGCCATTTTTTCATGCAGATTTCGCGGTGGCATCAGTCCTTAATGAATGTTTTCAGAAAAGGGGTCGCAGTTGGTACGAGATTTCCAATTTGAGGCTCGTCGTAGTCTTTACTTCGCGATTCAATAAACGGCACTACGAGAAAAGTCGAGACAACGAGCTATTTCAGGGAAAGCCTCGATGGGACTGCTTCTGGGGATTAGCCACAAAACAGTTGAACGCACGGTCCACGACAAAAGTGGTTACTGAGTTCTTCTCTTAGGAAAACTCAGTGGCCCCCAAAAGTAATAAAAAGGACCCTCTCGCGCCCAAAAACTGGACGGTCAGGACATAGTGGAAGCCCTGTTCCCGGCTCCGCGGGTTCTCCGCCTCGATCGATGTCTCGTCAGACGAGTGTCGAGTCGATATAGACTGCGAATATTCGCGCCAGGACCCACCGCAATCCGCTGATCGCCGAGTGGTGGCGATATTTTTCTCCCACTCTTCTTTCCTCTGTTATTCTTTCAGCTGCCGCGATCCCTTATTTAATTTCCTACCCGAAGAGGCTGAAAAAAGTGAGCTATTTTTGCTGTTACTACAGTTTTTTATTTATTTATTTATTTATTTCTGCGCCAAAATGACGCGCTATCACATACCGAGTAGGACGCATAAGCACCAAGTAGACGCAGGCCAAATCTCAAGTCAATAAATACTTAATAATTTACTTGTGTTTATACGTGAATGAATTTTTTGCTTGTCAGTTATTCGCACCGGGACCCACACATACGCAATGACCCACAATGTATAGTTCGTCCAAACGCCCTACTCTCCTTCATTCTTCTGGTCTCAATCTCGTCCTCCCCATTTTTAACAATTTTTCGAAGCCCTTTTTCACTTTAGAAACACCGATCCACGCAGTTCCTTCGCCCTCATCGCACTATTTTATATCTTATCTCCCATTTTTACCCAAAATTATTGTGAACTGTGCCTTTGATTCAGACAAAAGGTCAAATAGAATATAAAAAACCAAGGATGGCTTGCGACCAGAGCTGAGCGGGTATCACTGGAGCATCTACAGGTCTTTAGGAATCGAATTTAGTCGATTAAGGGCGAAATGATAGCACCTACCAAAGTATTTAAGGGCTTCTACTGTATAGTGATTCGATCAATGCTATTGAATTTTGTTATTGTTTTGCTTCGTATGAATCCATTCTGATGCATTATCGTTTTTCATGCTCTCGCTGCATACTCATTTCTGAGCCCTTCAAGCCAAGTACGGTTAGGTTTTCTTGGTTTTTTGATCGTTTTTGAAGCCATTCATATTTAGCAAGACACGGGAAACCTTTGGTTTCTTCGTTGGTGGCACTGAACATTCTGATGCACTAGAACGCTGGGAGCGACCTTGTGGGGGAATTCGTGGTGTCTCCGGTATAGGAGAAAATCTACCCTCTAAAGGAGTTCTGTCCGAGAGCATGAATAGGAGTTATCGGTAGAAGTACAAAGTAATTAAAATGTGAAAAAGATGCAAAGAACTCGGAGAGCAATTGTGGGAACGTATGTAGAGTAGTTTTGTAACATGTTCTCATATTGAATTCCAGCTCTTACTGTAGTAAATACCCAAAAAGGGTGATAATTTGTTGCAAGGTAATTAAAACGAATTTGCACGTTTTGCTTCCATTTTGAAAAAAAAATTGTATGGAGTACAGTGTGTGGAAAGTTGCAGCAAAAAGTTCTATATTTATTCTTAAGAGGCTTGTCATTCCAATGTACAGACAATTTGTTTGGTGCTCTGCAGTAGTTCTTCTTACTTTCCTGCATAAGCGTTGCCGCCGCCGCCAGATGCATATCCGCCACCGCCGCCGCCGGAAGCATAACCGCCACCACCGCCGCTGGAAGCATAACCGCCACCGCCACCAGTTGGGTATGATGGTGGTGGTGGAGGTGGAGGAGGAACAGGGTAGCCTCCACCGCCGCCTCCTCCGCAGCCTCCACCGCCGCCTCCTCCGCAGCCACCACCTCCTCCGCAGCCTCCGCCGCCACCGCCTCCGCAACCGCCACCGCCTCCGCAACTGCTACCGCCTCCGCAACCGCTCGATGGTGCTGGGCAAGGAGGAGGACTGAAAAAGTTAGTAGAGGAAGTATAGATGACGACAAGACAGAAACCTTCTCATTGAAAGTCACTCACCATGGTGGAGGGCATGGAGGAGGGCATGGTGGTGGGCAAGCAGGAGCCGCAGGTGCAGGAGCAGGGCTGAAAATTTCGTGAATAATCCCGAACGTAAAGAGAAAGCAAAGGTAAAATGCTTTTCAGAAAGCAAACCATCTCAAATGGATCTACTCACCAGCAGCTGCTGCCACCACTACTGCCTCCAAGAAGGCCGAAGCCGAAGGCGTCAGATGCAGCTATTAAGGCCAACGCGACTACCGCGTATTTGATCATTCTGAAAATGTGAAGTTGATAACAAGGAGAAGATGCAGGCTGGAAAATGTTGGTAATGTGGATGGGATGCCATTTCTCAGCAATGGTTCCCTTATATACCGTGGCTTTGCCATCATCGAGTTCATTACGTCAATCGGTTATCCAAACTTAATTGGAACGCTGATCGCGCCAGCCCTGCATAAGCGTTACGTTCCAGTTCAGAGAGGAATTCCTTTCAATTTGTTACATCGGTACAGCAGTGAAAACGATAGACTAATTGGATGTCATAGCATGACCTCTACAG